TGAGAATTTGGTCGCGCTTCTTTTGATAACGAATTCCTTACAGAGGTCTGTCTGTCTACTTTGTGATCTTTCGCTGCTATCATCCAATTTTATTTGGAAGATTTTCATGCTGCACCAGCACATTTCGTGTTGTTGTCTCTTTTGAACGTCCTTCACAACATGTCTACGAGACAAGTGGACACTTGAACAGCCCAAGTGGTTGTTGTTCCAACGAACAATTAGACTATATATGTGCTGCGTGGGATGTGCAAAAAACGCTCAGTAATGTGCTGCAGTTGCGAATTTCCTCAAAAACACATGAGAGGACATCTTCGATAGTTGAATATTCACAATACGAAACACACTCGAATTGTGTGCAACGTGGAGAAAATTAAAGATTGAGTTTTTTCAACGAAATTATTACAATATTGCAATTGTTCATTTTCGAACGGGCGTTGTCGAGTGATCTCCTCTGCGAACAGTTTCCAGTGTCAATCTCATAAATCAGCAGCAAACGTCACAAAAACCGTCATCAAATCAATTCGTTGATGGCATTTTACAAAGGTCATTCATTATGAGTCGCTAAATTATTATCGTGATTCGTTGTTTCAAAGACCACAATATTGCGTTGACAAATTGTTGCATGATTTAGAACATCCGCACACACGTCCACTGATGTGCGGTGTTATTTATTTGTTTTCGAATTGTGATGTGACGGACGTTCGTCAGGATTTTTTGATTCCGAACGAAAAAATATTAAATGGAAAGAAACGATTGATTGCAGGAACTATTTACTGGGCGAGAACGAAATTTATGCTTTATTGCAATGCGGTTCTTTAGTGTTCATTCAGCCATACATTGATTTTCAAAGAGTTCGGAAAGAGTGAAGAGAATTAAAAAACAAACAAACTAATCGTTAAAAAGTACAACTCCACGATGAATATGATAGCCCAGAATGCATTTGCTCAGTGTGCGCAATGATTTGGCAATTTGAAGTTAATGATGAACGAGGAATTACAAGTCTCAAACACCTACTATTTCCCTACCAAGACATTGCAAGCCTGTAACTGTGATGCAAGAGCTACAGTCACTTCTCCATATTAAGCGGCTGTTTTCAAGTAATTTAACACGCATTCGACGCTGTCTTTTGCAAACATTTTGAATCCTTAATCAGGAAATATGTGTTTTATTATCGGCAGTGAAGTGTTTTCGTAATTAAACGATCGTAAAGTTAATCAGCTCTGACATGAACGTTAATTTAACAACGCTTTTTATGAGCAGCCACATGTGCAAACAGTCATAAAGAGGTGATTTCCCGATGACTTCCGTCTTAAATTAGTGACACTCGGTTAGTCAGTGATGAAATGGAATACTGAGTTGATGTGGCATCAGATCAAATAACACAGATCATTGCTCATCTATCCTGTGGCTTTTTCAGAACGCTCTTTTTTTGTGACAGTTTACTTAGAGTAGCAATACGCTTTTT